CGGTGACCAGCTGGATTTTCGTGACGCCCCCTCCCGCGGCAACGTCAGGCGGTGGCCGACGGGCGCCCAGGCACGCTATGCGACGAAGCGATTGCCCAGATCGCGCGTGTCATGGGCCTGCGGGAGGGGGCGGACGGGCAGAGGGTGCGCCCTCGCATCAGGGGCTACCTCCAGGCCGTGGTGTTCGGCCACCACCCGATCCACTCGGTCGGGGAGCGGGCGGTGCGCGAGCTCCAGACGCTGGCGGCAGCGATGGACCTCCTCGAGGACGGGTCGCTGGCGTCGGTCGCGGACACGCTGATGCAGCGGTTCAAGGCGCTGGAGATGGCGCTGAACGACGGCAACTGGTACATCGCCAACGAGCTGGAGGTGGTCGAGGGGATCCGCCCGACGCTCGCCTCCCGCGACGAGCAGGAGTCAGCGCGGAGGTCGGCGATGCTGCGGCGGCGGCTGGAGGAGGTCCGCGCCAGGGGGGCAGCCCCCCGCCGCTGGCCCGAGGAGGCGGCGGCTGCGGAGCCGCCTCGAGCGCCCTCGCCAGGGCGGAGCCGTGGGCGCGGGAGCGACCCCGCTCGCCGCGGCCGGGCCTTCGTCGCGACGAGGCGCGGCGCTGCCCGCCCTGGCGGAGCTGCGGCGGCCGCGGGCCAGGCTGCCGGCGGGCCGGAGGGTCCCGCAGCCGCTCGCGAGGCCTCGAGGTCCCCCGCCCGAGTGCCCTCCGACGCCGGGGGGCGGCCTCCCTCGCCGCTCCCCCCGAGGACGGCCCGCGGGGACAGCCCCCGCCCTGGCGCTGCGGCGGCGCCGGGCCGCGTGGAGCTGCTGGGCGCTCCCGAAGTCCGCGCCTTCCGTCAGGGCCAGCCGGCGGCGCAGGTCGGCGGACAGGCTCCCCAGGGGCGCGGCGGCAGCCCGAAGGAGGGAAGGGGCAAGCACCGCGGGCGTCGGGCGCCGAGAGGAGGGCTGCCTGGCCGCGGCCGGCCGGCGCCCTGGAAGGGTCGCGGCAAGGGCCGCTAGCACTGGAGGCTCGGGCGCGATGCGCGTGAGGATGCGGGCCCTCTGGGCCCAGCTGGAGCTCGTGCTGACCGCATGGGCGAGCCAGGGCCGCCAACTGACTCGCTGGCAGCCAGGAGGCGGCGCGCGCGGAGGCAGCGTGGCCAGACGCGGGCGCCCCCCTGGCGGAGCTCTTCCGCAGGTGGCAGGAGAAGGCTGGGGCGGCTGCCGAGTCTTTCCGCCGCCCGCTGGATGCGGGCCCGATCCTCGAGGAGCTGATGCGAGAGTTTCCAGGGTCGCTCGGGGTCTACGTGGACAGGTTTATGCACAGCGGGCATCGGCCAACTAGACGGGGGCGGCTGCAGCGTGACCTGCTACCGCTACCCTGTCCCGATCTCGAAGCTTCGGACTTCACCGTGGAGGAGAAGATTGACCCAGGCGACCTGGCCTCGCTACAGTCTCGTTTGAGGGTGATCGTGATGGCTATGAACTGGGAGGCTGGCTACCGTCACCTGAAGTGGGCGGACGTCTGCGGGCCGGAGTCGAACGCGGCCCAGCGCTCGGCCCTCCTCGGGATTGCGCGGCGCATCTATTCGAGCGTCGCGCCCGAGCCCGCCATGGCCGGGACCCTCGACTGGTCCGAGAAGCTGAAGGGCCGGGCCATCGCGTACGACGGCTCGGAGGTCTCTACGCCGAGCAAGATCGCGCTCGAGCAGATCGAGGGCGGCCTGCCGCCTGTGGGGGTAGCCGCCTCCATCGAGGCTGCGGATCTCGCCGCGGGCTTCGTGCGGGCGGCGCTGCTGGGCCCCTCCCTGGTCCTCCTGCCGCCGGCTCAGAGGCGCCCCGCGCCGACCTCGACGCGCGTCTGGGCGACGGCGCAGGAGTGGGAGCAGGTGGTGAGTGCACTGTTTGCTCGCGGGATGGTTGGCCCGATCGACGAGGGCGAGATCGCGACCAGAGACGGGGCCCCCTTTATCAGCGGGGCCTTCGGCGTGGCGAAGGTGCACGACGCGCCAGTCCGCTGCGGCGATGGCGAGGAGCGGCCCGTCCATCGGCTCATCGTCAACCTGATCCCCGCGAACGCGTGCCATCGCGCCATCGCGGGGGACACCCCCGTCACGCCGACGACGGGGCAGCTGAACGGGCTGGTGCAGGCTCCAGGGGGGCAGCTGCTCTGGAGCGGGGCGGGCCGCAAGGCGTTCTTCTGCGTCTTCAGGGCGCCCCCCGCCTGGTGACCCTACATGGCGCTGGGGCCGCCGGTGCCGCGGCGGCTGGTGGGCGGCAGCGGCGACGGGCTGACCCGCATCGCGCTGAGGGTCATCGGCGTGGGCTGGATCAGCGCGGTCGGGGTCGCGACGCACCTCCACCGCAACATGCTGGGGCGGTCGGCCCCGGTCCCCCGCGGACCGCCGCCCGCGGCCGAGGCGGTGCGCGCCCGCCGCCTGCCTGCGGAGGCCCAGGCAGACGGCATCGCGATGTGGTTCATCTACATCGACAACCTCGAGATCGCGGAGATCGTGTCGAGTGTGGAGGCCGTCAAGCTGAAGGGGGCCATCCCCGAGCTGCTGAGCCGGGCGTCGACCTGCTACGAGGAGGCCAAGTCTCCGGGATCGCCGGGGAAGGATGTCCACCGTGCCCAGCAGGTGTCCACGCTGGGGGGCCTCGTGGATGGCGAGGCTGGCGTGCGGCGGCCGCCGCGGGGCTACGTCACGGAGCTCACGAGCCTGACGCTGTGGTTCCTGGCGAAGAGGCGCCCGAGCAGGCGCCTGGCGCAGATCCTGCTGGGGCGCTGGGTTCGCGTGCAGTGCTGCCGGAGGCCGCTCGCCGCCGCCTTCGGGAACGCTTGGAAGTGGCTGGCGTCGGGCCGCTCGGGCGGGCTCGTCACTCTGGGCGTCGCCGAGGACCTGCTGATCGCGGCCGCGCTCGCACCGCTCAGCGTGGCGGACATGCGGCTGACCGTCGACCACCTCGTGACGGCGTCCGACGCCTCGGAGGCCGCGGGGGCGATCGTCTACTCCCAGGGGCTGTCGGACATGGGCCGTGCCCTTGGGGCTAGAGGCCCGCGGGCGCTCAACCCCGCCTGTGAGGAGGGCGTCGCGCTGATCTCCGTCTTCTCAGGGATCGACGGGGCGCGCCGGGCCTTCGAGATCCTGGGCTTGGTCCCCGCGGCGCACCTGTCGTTCGAGGTTGACGCCGAGGCTGTGCGGGTGGCTCGACGGGCGCGCCCCAGCACCGTGCACCTGGGAGACGTCACGGCCGCAGATCCTGCGAATCAGGCACGCCTCCTGCGGGGCCACGGCCGCATCACGAAGGTGATCGTGATCGGGGGCTTCCCGCGCCGGGGCTTCGCGGTGCTGAACGTGGCCCGCGAGGGGGGCGCGGGCCCGAGGTCGCAGCTGGTGGGCCACATGTGGAGGCTCATCGAGGGGCTGAGGCGCGAGCTGCCCGAGGCCACGGTGGACTTCCTCGGGGAGAACGTGGCGTCCATGGCGGAGGACGAGGTCCTGGCCTCGAACAAGATGTTCGGCCGGGTGCCGGTGTCCCTCGACGCCGCGGACCTGGGCTGGGCCCGCCGCCCGCGGCTGCACTGGCTGTCGTGGGACCTGCCCTTCGAGATGTCGGCCGAGATGAAGGCGGCGGCGGGTGGCGCCCGGCCGCGGGCCTGCCGAGTGCGCCTGGTGACGGAGCTGCCGCCCGTCTCGGAGTGGCTGCCGCGCGGGGCCACCTGGCCCGGGGCCGCCGAGGACGGCCGCCTGCCGACCTTCGCGCGCTGGACGCCGCGGAGCTCGCCTCGGCCGCGGCCCGCGGGGCCCCGCCAGTGCACGCCGAAGGAGGTGGCGCGCTGGGCGGCAGCGGGCTACGCAGCCCCGCCCTACCAGTTTCGGGAGTGCTTCTGCCTGCATTGGGCGGGTGGGCGGAAGGAGCGGCCGCGGGCAGTGGAGCGGGAGGTGCTGATGGGCTTCAGGCGGGGCCGCGCCGTGCCCTGCATGAGCAGCTCCGCCGCCAAGAGCGACCCCGAGCGCTTCGAGGCCCTGCGGCGGTCGCTCGTGGGCAACTCGTTCCAGTGCGAGGTCGTGGCCTGGCTGCTGAGCCACTGGGCGGTGCACCGCTCGCTGCTGGTGGCGGTGCCATCCCTGCGATGCCTCCACGAGAGCTCGAGGAGCTGGTCGATGGGCCGCAAGCTCTGGGCCGGCGACGTGGAGACGCTGCGGTGTGGGCGCGAGGCCGTGTGCGAGGAGAACCTGCACCTGCTGGAGGAGGCTGGCCGCGTGCCCGCAGCTGGCGATGGGCAGGTGACGCGCGCCGTCTACGTCGGCCGCGGGTCGCGCCGCTGGGGGCTCGCCCCCTCCAAGTGGGGGAACCCGTACCCCGTGGTGCCAGGGCGGCCGGCCGGCGACGCCGTGGCGCTGTTCGCGGGCTGGTTGCGCTCCCAGCCCAAGCTCCTGGACCAGCTGGGAGAGCTGGAGGGGTCTCGGCTGCTGTGCCACTGCCCCTCGGGCCAGGCCTGCCACGCGGACGTCCTACTGGCGGAGCTGGAGCAGCGTGGCAAGGGGTGCTCGCGGCCCTTCCTGGAGCACCAGAGGGTGGTGGCCTCGCTGGTGATGACGTGCCACCACTCGGGCGCTGACCTTCGAGTGGATACCGATGCAGAGGCGTATGGCAAGATGTTCCCACGGCAAGAGATCGATGCTGGCATTTGGAAGTGGAAGGTCGCACGCCAGCTTGTTTGGCAAGACCAAGCCAAGCACATCAATGTGTTAGAGTGCGAGGCTGCGTTGATGGCCCTGCGTTGGCGGGCCCGCTCAGTCTCACGGCAGATGTGCGTCTTCCTCCACCTGCTCGACAGCATGGCGAATATCGGTGCTCTTGCCAAGCGCCGGCCTTCGAGCCAGCAGCTCAACAAGGTAGTGCGCGCCTTTTCCATCCTTGAGCTGGCGCTCGGATCGCGGGCTGTCTTTGCCTTCACCTCATCGGCAAAGAACCCTGCGGATGCGCCATCCCGCTTGCCCAATGGGTAGGCGCACTTCGCCAGAGGAGAGGCGTGCTACCCGAGCTGCTCTTGGCCGCCTGGCCGACGCGCGCGTGAACACTAGAACACGCAACAAGCACCAGCGCGCATGCCGGCAGTTTGTCGAGTTTTTGAGTGCTATGCATCTCTCTTTGCCAGTCACGTGGGGCGAAATGGGTCTCTGCCTTCAAGATTATCTTGAGTATCTCTGGAGCATCGGAGCCTCGAAGGGGCAGGCGAACGACACTTTGTCAGGAGTGCAACATTTTCTGCGCTCGCGCCGCCAGTGTCCTGGGGCTTGGCGCCTCCTCTCGGTGTGGTCACGCCTCGAGGTGCCGAGCCGAGCGCCTCCAATGCCTGCTCGAGTCGCCGCCGCAATGGCGGGCTGGGCGCTCGAGCACAATGAGTTCGCCCTGGCTGCCTGCATTCTTGGAGGCTCCCACCTGTGCCTGAGAACAGGTGAGATCCTTGGGTTGAAACGGGCCCTGGTCCAGATCGGCCCCCAGGGCCGCGGGGTCGTGAGTCTCCCATGGGCCGAAACAGCTGCCCAGAAAGGCGCCCGGGATACCGTCACCATCGACGATCCCTGCATAGGGGCCTGGGTGCACCGTGCACTGTTGCTGGACCCTGCCCGCGAACTTTGGAGCGGCGCGCTCCCGTCTTTTCACGCCGCTTTTAAGCGTGCTGCTGCCGGCGTGGGCTGTCGCCGCGCTCGCCTCACTCCGTGCAGCCTTCGTCGAGGCGGGGCCGCGCGCGAATATCTATCGTCAAAGAATCTTGAGCGTGTCATGTTGCGTGGGCGATGGAGCTCCATCAGAACAGCCAAGATATATATCGAAGATGGGGCCGCCATCCTTGCCGAGATGCAGTTCAGAGGCGAAGCTCAGAGATGGATCGGTCACTAATCGTCCTCCTTTGTCTCTCGGACCAGAGAGGAATTCGGCTGAATCGCCAGGGTGGGGCGGGTGGAAAGGATCGAGCGGCCTCGACTCCCTCAGATCGCAGCCCGGAACGCCGCTATGCCGACCATTCTTGGGTCGACCGTCTGGGTCCCTGGCCGAGCGCGACGAGGCGCGGAGAGTGGAGTCGAGGCCCCCTCAGATCCAAGTCAAAATGCAATGGCCATGTGGAAAAAGGATGGGGCCCTCTGGGGGCCCCCCTGTCCTGTGTGCTTCCGCAACCCCGCCTCCCCCCAACCGCACTTATATAAACGCTTGCGGTAGATGAGTCGGGGGTGGGAGATCAGGGGTGCGGAGAAGGCATGGCCGTGAAGGGATTGCATGGCAGTCGCTGTTGCCCGCCCGCTACCACCCTTGGCGACTTTTTCAACCTTGCTAAGACCCGCAAGGATCGAGCGGCCTCGACTCCCTCAGATCGCAGCCCGGAACGCCGCTGTGCCGACCATTCTTGGGTCGACCGTCTGGGTCCCTGGCCGAGCGCGATAAGGCGCGGAGAGTGGAGTCGAGCCCCCTTCAGATCCAAGTCGAAGTGCGATGGCCATGTGGAAAAAGGATGGGGCCCTCTGGAGGCCCCCCTATCCTGTGTGCTTCCGCAACCCCGCCTCCCCCCAACCGCACTTATATGTGTATATATATATATATATATATATATATATATATGTGTATATATGTACATATATATGTGTGTGTGTGTGTACACACACAGGCGCATGGGAAAACCGGACCGTCAGGGACGCCCCCAGACGGCTCAAGACAGCCCCAAAACGCACGTGGACACCAGCCCCAAGAGGCCTCCACGAGGGCTACAGTCGCGGAGCTATCGTTCTAACACGCCCATGATGGCCTCCAGATGGCCCAAAAGGCTTCCAACACGGCCCAAGGGGTCTCCAAAAACACTTTCAAAAGGGCACCAAGAAACCCAAACAATTGATCATCCGAGGATTTTTGATGAATTTCTGCGTTTCTAGCGTTTCGGCTTCCCGACGCTCCAAGATGGTCCCAGACACCCACGAAGATGCTGAGACGGCCCAAGAGGCACCCCAGACGGCCCAAGAGGCTTCCAAGGCAGCCCAAGAGCGCCCCGAGAACGCCTCGGGAGAGAATTCCGAGGGGGAGCACCAACCAACATTTCGAGTTCTCCGCCTCTGGAGGCCCCCAAGAGGCCCCCAGCGGCTCCCAAGAGGCCCACAAGAGGCCCCAAAAAGTCCCCAGGATGCTCCCAGGAAACCCCAGGATGATATATATATATATATATATATATATATATATATATATGTATATATATATATATATCTATCTATATATCTATCTGTGTGTCAATCAATCAATCAATCTATCTATCTATATGTATGTAGATATGTATATATATATATATATGGCATTCCCCCATGGCAGTCCCAGGCCTCCAGGAGCTTTCTTTCCGCTCCACGACGACTTAGATGCCCTCCAATATCAAGATGGCTCAAGCTGGCTTCAGAGATGCCTCCAACACCGCCAAGAAGTCCCAACACGCCCCAAGTGCCCCCCACTCCCCTGAGAGCCCCAAGAGGCAAACACGGCCCCATTCCTTCTGGAAAACGTGTCTTTTTACCATGTTCGCCTCTTGGGATTTCACAGCGTCCAAGACGGCTCGAGAGGCGCCCATGATAGTGCCCAGACGGTCGAGGAGGCTCCCAATAAGGCTTTCAGATGACCCAAGAGAGCCCCCAGGCGGCCCAAGAGGGCCCCAGGACGCTCCAAGAAGGGGCCCAGATAGGAAGTCCCCAAACGGGCATTGACAGCTCTCTGCCCCTAGAGGTCCCCAGGAGTCGACAGGTGGCCCCCATCATTTTTTCCAAGGCGGCGAAGCCACACAACTACACACTGTTCATTCATATTTCTTCGAACGTTTTTTTGTTTTTGTTTTTTTGCAATATTCTTTCATTTCTAATTGTTCTATCCTGGGCCTCTTCCTGGCCACTAGGGGGCCAGGAACAATTAGAACAGAACACAAATAAGCATGAGCACGATTAGAACTGAACGACGTGTACTCGAGCAGTAATTCTCCCACACGGCACTTGAGGGATCAGTCCTGAATGGTTTTTCGAATCTTGAGTGTTCAGTCCTGAACGGTTGTTTGGTTTTTCGTAGGTTCTTGGTTGTTTCTGTTGGATTCCGCCTTTTCGGCCTGCTGACGCTCCACAACAGCCCTGAAAGGACGAAAGCTCGCTCCAAGACAGTTTCAGAGGCCCCCTCCAGGGCGCCACATTCCCCAAGAGGCCCCAAGGCCCCACAAGAAACTTGCAGGGCAACCCCCCAAAGGCACCGAATCGCTAAAACATCACCGCCAGACGCTCATCAAGCCCTCCAGGTGGCCCCACCACTGACGACGAAGACGCGTGAAAGAAGCACAGTCTGGCGGGCGAGCAGAACATGGGATGCAACTGGCACTTGGTGATGGGACGGCGTGGAGGATCGGCAGGAGTGGCTCAGGGCGTCTGGGGGGGAACTTTTGGAGGCCACTTCGACACCTGCTTCCTGGGAGCCTCTTGGGGACTCCTTGTGGCCTCTTGGGGGACTCTTGGGCGCAGATTGGGACCTCGTGGGGGCCTCAAGGGGCGGACAGCTCCAAACGTCGGTTCGTGTTTCCCCTCTGGGGTCCCTCTTGAGGCGTTCTTGGGTCCCCCTGGGCGCTGCCTTGGAGGCCCCTGGCAATTTGGGGTGCCTCTTGGGCCGTCTCGGTGCCCTCTTGGGGGCCTCTGAGGCCGTGTCGGGGCGATATTTCGGGCTTAACTGCTGACGCCAATCAGACCAGCCAGCCAACCGTGGGGCCACGGACTGTTTGAGGCGAGGTGTGTCCCCAAATGGGCGGAGGGACGTTTGCGGCACCTTGCCAGTGAGGCATTCAGTGGAGCGAAGACTTGTTGCCACCAGGAATACAACGCGCGCGAGGAACACTACGAGGCTTCTGGCGGTGACCGGGTTCACGGCTCACCGCCTGCATCCAGTTGCTTCGAATTTGGGGCTTCGGTGCCAGCCAGGCCGCGATGACTTTGCGATCGATGCAGATGACTCGCGATCGATGCGCAGTCAAAGGAGCGGTGGGCACTGACATGGAGACGCTCTGGATGGCGCGAACATTGGGATGCCGAACAAGTAAGTTGTCAAATTCGATGTACCATGGTCTGGTATTAAGGTGCCCCCTTCTGGGACCCCTGTCGTTAAAAAGCTCGTGAGGGGTCATCAGGATGCTCTTGCGCGGCTCTTTGGTGGTCTTACATGAAACCTTTGCAGCATGGATGTAGCTCCTGAGGCCACATTGCCAAACGGGCAGCCATTCGGGGGGCTGGCCAGTTGACAGTGGGGCTCCTCTGGCAAACGTGCAGGCCCAGCCAAGGCGGAAGGAGGAGGCGGCCAGCGCATTTTGCAGTGGGGCCCCATTGTCGAATAGCTTGTTTTGGGGGCCAGGTCTGGGCGGCAAAGGAAGTCCGATGATCGACCTGACAGCAGGGGCGCACTGTCACATGGACCATCGGGGCGGCAGGCCGAGGCGGCGCAGGAGTCGAGCTCGATTGCCCATGTGTCAGAGGGGGCCCACTGTCAATCGGGGGTTGGGGGCGGGTCGCGGGAATTGGTCTCCGATTGCCGTCTTGACCGTGGGGGGCCACATGCAAATGAGCAATCGGGGGGGCTTGGGCCGAGGCATCGCCCAATTGGCACAGGGAATCCCGCTGTGAAATGGGTCATCGGGGTACTCGATCGCCCATTTTACAATGAGATCCCCTCTGTCAACAATCTGAAGCGAAGTGTGGCCGATTGCCCGTGTGACAGTGGGGATCTCATAGTCAAAGGGCAAAGTTCGCTCAGCACTTTCCGCTGTAATTTTGCCCCCCCCCCCCCGCACCCCCATGTCCAGGGGGGATTGTGTGGGGGAATCTCACACGCCTTGATGACTCCAAAGGGGTCGACGGACTCCCTGACTGCTCCACAAGCCTGTTGCTATCCCTCATAAGGCCTGGCACCTTGCGCTGAGGGTGGCCTACGCTCGGGGCACTTCTCCTTCGGTAAATTC